ATAAGGATGAAGTCTGAGGAATACGCTAGCCGACTTGCCAATCAAAGCCGTTGCGTTTAGCATTTTTCCAAATGGAATGGTGTCAGGGACCTCCCCTGCAAAACAAGTGATTTGCAACCATGACTTTTCGAAAAAGGTTGTAGCCGGGACTCAAGCACCTCATTATAATCCTAGTCGTCTACCTGACATGTTGGCAAGCCAAACTTCAATGTCCCCTCCTTTTGAACCCCACACTCACCGCCAGACCTTTGATGAACATCTTCCGAATTGTCTCTTCGAGCACATCTGCGGGTCCGACCGAAAGTCTCTTCGAAAACCACAAGACCCACCCGAATAGTAAGGAATAAGCTTCTTTCTGCCAGTCGAGTTGGTCTATGAAGAAATTCCACAGAAAGTCTTTTATACTAATTTTACCATTTCCACGAAAGCACTGTCTGTGTGGGTTCAAAGTATCATGTTGTGATCCTTTTTTGAGTGGGAATTCCAACCTTGCCAACCTGAACCCGCATTCATATACAAAGCCTTCTTCATCTTCTTTTCGTGTCGTGTGCTCAATTGATTGAATGAGACACCGATTGGTCTTTTTCCTACACCGAGATCGGGAAGATCATATTATTTATGCGTAAGTTGAGTAGTACGAAAAGAAAAATTTGAGAAAATTAAGGCTATTCTTCTGCTGTTTTGAACAAGTAGCGATTGAGAACAACCCTCAGTCAAGGTCGAGAGCTTAGCATCAGGATTTCGGATTTCTCTCCAAACCTACGAGGACGCATGACTGGTTGACGTGCTATTTCGCAATAGGAAGGTTCAGAAGCATGGGGATCCCATTTCTGTGCTTGGTCTTCTTCAGAAAAACGCTTGCCGTGAAGAGGAATGATGCCAGAATAAGTAACGAAAGGAGAAGTAAAAATAGGTTAGGAAATCGATGCAAAAACTTCATCTGCCTCAGGGTGTCCACATAATTTTGATACAAAGAAAAAACTTTCCATGAAAAATAGTTCGCTAAGTTAGAACGAAATCTTTTGCCGAGAATGTCATTGTAGGTTATCGACCACTAGGAGTTGAATGGTGAAGGTTTCATAACACAAAAAGCCTTTAGCTGACTCCTGAGAATCGATTCTAGGGTGTCCACATACTTTTGGTACGCACTGTATTAACTGAAGTGATCGATTTTCGACAATTTTTGAGCTTTTATCATCTCCCTGCAAATTTACCACATTGTCCGCGCCTCCGTTACATGGATGTGTTCTTGCCCCTTCCGTATGCACAAATCGAGCGGAAGCGAACTGGATAGGATCGAATGTGAAGTTTCTTGGCCCTAAAGGTTCAGGTAAGGTCACGAGTGCGACACATAGTCACATGAAGCTTTCACTTGAACATAAGGGAACAATAAGAAGCGATGACTCACGCCTCCACTCTGGAAAGATGCGCTACCACGACTCATCGGCGAAGGTTGAGCTTTTCTTACTAATCACGGAACGCTCCACGATAGCCGTATGAAACATCCCAAATGTGAGGCGTGACCGTAAACAAAGAGCTGTGCCATTTGGGACTTGGGAATGCGTGAAAAGCGTTAGCACATACACCGCTTGTAGCGCCCGCTCCATTAGCGTAGTTTCACCATCAGGCTTGAAAAGAGCGTGATGGTCATGTGCATTGATATGCGTCATCATTCTCACCTCTTTCCTGGCTTCTCTTTCGTCTGTGCTCCCATTTGGCCATCAACTTTCCTCGCTGCGGTGCCTACCTTTCCGTATGCAACGGTCGAGCGGAAACGAACTGGGTGGGATCGTATGCGAAGTTTCTATGCATTGAAAATCTTGGCCATAAAGGTTTAGGGGCGCAATGTGGCTCGGTCGGGGGCCAGTCGCCGCGCGCGATCTCTGCGTTTTCTGTGTAAGCATTTCCTCTTCGCTAAATCGGGACTAAGCCTCGGGCAGGGGAGGAGGAACTCCAGGATCATAGCAATTTTCATCTTCCCAAAGTTCCTGCCCACTCCTAGGCTTAGTACTACAGGGCGCAAGACGAGCGACTGCCCCCCCCCGAGCCACATGCGCCGGTTTAGGTAAGGTCACGGGTGCGAGAGATAGTCACATGAAGCTTCCACTTGAACATAGCGAAGCAATAAGAAGCGATGACTCATGCCTCCACACTGGAAAGAAGCGCTATCACGACTCTCGGCGAAGGTTGAGCTTTTCATGGAACGCTTCACGATAGCCGAATATGAAACAATCCCAAATGTGAAGCTTGACCATAAACAAAGAGCTGTGGCCATTTGGGACCTTGGGAATGCGTGAAAAGCGTTAGCACATACACCGCTTCTAGCGCCCGCTCCATTAGCGTGGTCTCACCATCAGGCTTGAAAAGAGCGTGATGGTCATGTGCATTGATATGCGTCATCCTCTCTCCTCTTTACTGGCTTCTCTTTCGTCTGTGCTCCCATTTGGCCATCAACTCTCCTCGTTGCGGTGCCTACCGTGATTAAGTTCCAAAACAAGGTCTTAAGGTATTTTCTCTTGACAATTACTTTGCCCTCTATGCACTGGAACAGTTTGGGATTTAGCCCCTTTGGATCGTTTTTATTTTGCTATGTATCTTTACTAATATTAGGTTGTTGCATTATAAATAGCGCAAAGATTTGGTTTCACTACCCATTTCGAGAATTGCGGTTTGAACTTCCAGATGATACATGGAGCATCCGTATCGAAAAAGGAATTTAGCAGTATAAGAGCCCTAACTAGCGTTGCCATATAACATTTTTTTTGTGAATGATTTTCTCCTTTTGAACGATGGTACGCGAAATTTCGTTCACGGTGAATGTTCTCAGACGAATATTGTGAGGGGAGTGATCACAGCTTTTGCGATCACGGCAGGTTCGCGGAACAGAAAGATGATCTACATCAAATACTGTGCGTGGCATCGGCGAGAGAGAAACCGATGATTTATGAAGTTATACTCACGACGACAAGCTGAAAAATCAGCCAGCACGGGAAAGAAAAATCACGATCAGCAAGACTGAACAATAATCTTTAAGTTTCCCGCAAACACTTCTCTCCACATCTCCTCTCCCGCTACAGCTGACCCGAGTCAATGCGCGCGTAGTGATTAGAAAACTATTTCTGAAGTCCAAACGGTTCTGACAGACTACTTTCCTTGCGCACACGAAGGCCCAGTATTCTACATTAGAATGGGACGCCTGAGCAATGAGGTTAGTATGATCTACTTGTTCAATGGTCCCATGAATGCTGTTTCCAACAAGATTTTGTATACGTTCTGAAGCGACATTTATAATGCAATAACCTAATATATTTCGCTCTCATAAAGTGTGCCGTTAAGTCTCAAATCAAATGCTGTTGGCTATAAGCGCGTACGCTGCAGGAGTCATCAGGTTGAAAATGAACAGAAATAGGTAACCGTTAACTTATCAATATCGTTTGACCTGAGAGTAGAGAGAAGAATAAAAAGGGCCTTCATGTGGCAATGATCCGGATATCATGTGTCAAATAAATATTGGAACCAACCCTCATGTGGGTTACAACTCTATCAATCTCCCGGTATGGCTGCGTCCTACAGGTCAACCCTACGTTGTTACGAGTAACAACGGGGGGGGGTCGTACCTGGTTGAGTTTGTAGGAGGGGGGGGGTCGTATCAATTTTAGTTGCTCGAAATCACGTGTGGGATTGAGGAGAGAAAATTTTGATAATTTTTACTGTTTCAGAGTGAGTATATACCCCCCTCCCCCCCTCGACGGCATTTTGGAGGAAAAAGTGGGCGGAGTTTGTGGGTTGAGTGGTACCAGAATTAAATACTATAGAGAGGAATATGGTGGTCGAGGGTCGAGAAGGGGGTCGTACCAAATCCACCTTGGGGGAGGGGGGTCGTAAAAATTTTTCGAAAAGTAACAACGATAGGGTTGACCCTGCTTCCCCACTATTCTTACTAAACTATTACTACTACCTCCCCACCGACACCAATAGTTTTGTCCATGAATAGGGAAATCTGCAATTATCCAGAAGTTGTTACGCATTCGAACTCCCGCCGTACATCTGTCACAGATGTGGCCAGGAACGCTCTTCTTGGAGTAACTCAAAATCCTTTTGGCTTTTTCACGCTCGACCAAACATTTCAGTCTTCCTCTGCATCCTTTTCTATAAATCGTTTGGTTCTCCTGTTTCGCAAATTTCGCATAAGCTTTGACTTCGATTCTTTTTCGATTTCCTCTGATACGGGCCGTTGAGAGTGCCTACAACTCCTGCGCCCCTTTGGCTTCCGCCATCTACCTGGCGATCTACCCAGGTGTGGTTTTCTAAGGTGTTGTTCCCTCTTGAGGCTGGCTTTTCTTGGGCGTAGACTGTTTGCCCGTCATCTCTTAATGCTCAGCCTGACGTATTCATGTTGGGAAAGAATGCATAAATTCTAGCTCACAATTAATTTAATACTCTAACAGTGCTCAAATGTACAACCTCTGACCATCCACCTAATCCCATCTTGGGGATCTCTCCTTCCCACAAGCAAAAATGCCATTCTCTTGGGAATCCCTCCTTTCCCTAAGGCAAATGCCACTCCCTCTTGGGGAATCCTCCCCTGCGGTTCACCCTTGTAGCGATCCGATGCCTTTCGATGAAATGCCTCACCGTAAGTCCTATACTTCATGTTTGCCTGTGAAAGTCTATTGAAAGCGTTTGCGATATTGTCAGCATAAATTTGTACACTTAAGCAAGCCAGTATTCGTCAGCCAAAGATGGAGCAGGCGGTCGATGGTTAAGAAAATTATTGTTTCCTCCTATTCTATCACAATGCTTTTTCCAGGCGGTCGATGGTTAAGAAAATATTGTTTCCTCCTATTCTATCACAATGCTTTTTCCTTAGCGGTGTTCTCGGATTGTTCCATTGTTCGCCGTTCAGAGATGTCTCGATCTTCGCATGGCGTACACCGACGTTTTAAATAGTTGTGGTTATTCCAGAGAATACAGTGTGTACTTTACAGGAGGTCCTCAGTATGTCTTACGATTTGAAGATCTCCGAGTCACCAGCCTACGCTCCATTCTTTGGATATATGGGAGCTGCATCAGCGCAGGTATTTATGCTCGCACTCTCCGTGAATGCACTTTCTTACTATAGCAAGTTGTTATGCGATGATGCTTGTTATTTTAACGACGCTCAGTGACTAAAACTGAGTTGAGCTTTCCGAAAGCGATTTTCTTTGACATGAGTATTGGGACAGCATAAAAATGAGGAAATAGTAATATTCGTTGAAGGCAGTGAGCACGATAAACTGAGTCTCCACCAGGGAATCATATGCATCAGAGGTAGCGATGTTAGCTAGCTAAGGAAGTGGTGTGGCGTTTGAGCGGCTGAGAGTGCGCAGCTAAGCAGCAAACTCAAAATTAGCTCGGCTCATCTAATACTGAAGTGTTGTAGTTGACTGATATACAGGGGGGGGGGGGCAAAAAAGTCACTCCCCTCCACATTCAAAACGGATTTAATAACGCTGTAACCAAACCAAACGAGCTCAATTGAATATTAAAGAGCACAGTCTAGTCTATCATACATGGGTTGCCCAAAGGTCTTGTGAACACTTTTATCGCTCCACCTATATTGTGAACATAGTCTTCATGAAGCAACCTAACACCTACCTACGTGTATTGCAAATTTCCAGGTGTTCACCGTTCTGGGTGCTGCCTACGGAACAGCGAAGTCAGCTGTTGGAATCTGTGCGATAGGTGTAATGAGGCCAGAGCTCATAATGAAGTCTATGATTCCAGTTATTATGGCTGGAATCATCGGCATTTATGGACTTGTTGTGGCAATTGTGGTACGTGGTAAGATTAAACCCGCCAGTTCGGGTTACACACTCAATGACGCATTCGGGCATCTTGCTGCTGGTATCACCTGCGGATTGTGTGGTCTGGGAGCAGGATATGCTATAGGAATTGTCGGAGACGCCGGAGTCCGTGGAACGGCTTTGCAACCGCGTCTGTTTGTGGGAACCGTACTCATTCTCATTTTCTCAGAGGTGGGAACTTTCTTCTCCATTAGCTCTTCTTTAAAGCATTACAGGTAATACGATGTTTATTCAGGTACTCGCTCTTTATGGTATGATCGTGTCACTCATCCTCACTATGGGGTGATCATCAACGACGAGATTTTAGGCCACATTGCTTTCACACTTCAGACAATGCGGTATCGTACGTCGTCGTTGCACCGACCAGCGAGGTTCTGGTAGTTTGAAGCAGAGGATTCTCGTGCAGCGAGCTCAACCACAACGTAGCAGCTCCGCCCCAGATAGCCCCGCCCACACATTGTTGTATGAAAAGTCTGCTCAAAGGCAGTGGTGGCAGTGGTTAAAAAGTGAGGTCAGTATGCGGAGTTTTTGATGGAAGGGCAGTCCGACCACACTCATTTGCGAGCTAGAGATGCGATCGGATCACTTTTCAAGGCCCCCAGACAGCCCCGCCCACACATTGTTGTGTAATGCTTTTTAAACCAGGGCATCTATTTCTTGCATGGATATTGTTAATCACAGATGATAATTACTTGCCACGACTGTAATCCCGTCCATCAACGCAGTTACGGCAGTCATTTTCGGTGTTGGAAAGTTGAGTAGCCACTTTGGCGCTGGAGTATCGACTCTGCATTCTATTATTTCTCTGCGCCTAATCCGCTACATGTATTGCCCTACGAACTCGTCGTCTGCCGCGTCTGCGCCTCTTCCTTCGCAGCGCGACGGGCCTCTCGGGGGACACCCGCGTTGGATGACCACTAACAAGACAGCTCCGCTCCAGGTAGCCCCGCCCACAAATTGTTCGTGATAAAAGGCACCCCACACGCGGTCGGGGAAATGCAAATGGGTGAATCTGACATGCTCCAATTGCGATGCTTAGGATAGGCTCGCATTCACCTTCTAGAGGTCTTCCGGACCTGACCATTGCCGTGGACGATGACCCTACAACGGTAACCAAACACAGACTTCCACAACGCAAGTCATATAGGCAAGCTGAAGGTGTGAAAAGCATCTACTATTAAGGTCTTTCTGATACTTGATCCATCCAATCCATAATTGACATTTTCTACTTCCACTTAGATATCATTTGTTTTGTTGGCTCTCATTAAGTAATAATTTTGAATCCATTGAGTTCTGGAATTTTTAAGACAATTTTTAAGATACGAGAGACAATCGTGTTAGCGAGTTTTTTAGTCCTTACAAATCCGCAAATATATGCATATGGATGTAAGCTGTTGAATAGCCCTTAATGAGAAATCATGTCAGAACTACTAGAAGTTCTGGTAACCCGTTTGAAAACCTATAGCATAGCATAGCAATGGATCCAAAAAACATACACAATTTTGACAATTTATTCACTTCTTAGGGTAATCTTTACAGTATCTGTTCAAATACTTATAAGACCATACATTAGCAACCGGATCAACGGGCAATATGACTAGACGACCGATTGAATTTCAAACAAAATATGTTCGCATACAAGAGATGGCGTTCAAAAGACATGGCTCGCAAAAAAGGACAACACCTTTATAAAAACTCAAACCATATCTCAAAGCAGCAGTCCCAGTAGGGTGGGCGTGGTCAGGAACGACTGCAATCCTCTTGGGCGATTTCGACCACGTCCCACCCTGCTGGGACTGTTGCTTCAAACGTTATTAAAGTAACCAACAAATTTTACATGCTGTCAATATTTTATCAAATTCAAGGATGATTTGGATCGAGTAGATCATTAAAGAACTCCCATGAAACATTGGCAACGGTCCTGTCCACCCATTCGGCCCCATTGGCTAGGTGGGCGTGCCCAAGCGCCTTTCAAAGCGTGACATCACTCTCAAATGGGGTGGCGCGGCCCGTCGCATGTCACAATCGCATTAAATCTGATAGCATTTCAGAAAAATTACATGAAAAATTCCAAGCTGTAGGGTTCGCTATCCATCCCACGGAATCCAGAATGATATTGATCGGTCGTTTTCAAAGGACATTCTTCTATGAGCACAAAGTTATATACAGTAAAACCATAAGTGATCCTGAGTTTGACGCAGTAAAGGTGAAAACGTTCTTGGAACGAATTCGCAAAAGGAATTCTTGCCACAATCCAGAAATCCAAGGCCGGCTAGGCAGCAGACATCGTATGGCAGATGAGGTCGATATCGTTGCCGTTTTTCTTGAACACCGCTTGTTGAGTGGGATCGGCTGGGAATATTCCGAACCAACACAGTGTTTGCCACCAACGCTAACGCTCAGCGTTGGCCGATACGATTCACCATTGAGGTCGCTATTTTCAATTCCTGATTAGTGTAAAAATTAACAATGACTACTGGGATAAGATGTGGCGATCGTGACTACAATGTATTTTTTCTTTTCTCTGTGTTTTCTGTTGAAAAGGCTAGATCGAGGCGCTGTGAGACTGCCACCACTTGCCAACTTCTACCGCGGAAATGGGAAGCATATGGGAGGGGCAGGGTCAACCGTCCGTTGGACAAAGTCCAACGAGGGGTGGGGGGTCGTATTTGGGGTGGGAAAAGAGGGAGGGTCGTATTTCGCGAGGTAGCGTTAATGTTACAGTAAGGGAAGGGATGAGTTTGTTCATGGAGCGGAGAGTGGATTATGACCCCCCCAGCCGCTCTAACGCGGCAATTGTGTTGGAGGAAAAGCGGGGGCCGTCGTGGCTGTGCCGACCTGTCTCAAGAATGAAATACTATAGAATAGCTCCCCATGATGGCGATGGATGGGGGGGGGGAGTCGTAAAATTCCTCGAAATTGGTCCAACGTGACGGTTGACCCTTGATAGATGGCCCAGGAGGATAAGTTCAATTCAGGGAGGATGGAGGTAGGGGGCGTGAGCTAAAAATAAAGTTCACGCGGCTAAAGTTTCAACGTACAAGGTCATTACAGTCACGAACCACTATTTAGCGGAGAAAGCACGGAAGAGGCCAGCACACTGACTTTTTGCAAAGAACCGAGTTCAAGTAGCCCGCAGACCATTCCCACTACCATATCTCACTCGCAAGCAAAGCGGCGAATCATGCGGAAAGACTCGTGCCGCACTCCGCTTTCGAAGGCTCAGCCCGAGTTCGCCGGCTGCGTACATGCTATGCTGTCAGTTGGCTTAAAATCAAGGCCCGATCAATATAAAAGATAGGTGGATTTTTGGCTTCACTATGTGTACCCTCCCCTTCAAAAAGAGAAAGTGTCGGGTGCAGACCATGCACCACAAGTGACGACGGCCTTCACAAAATGTTAATGTTTTCTGCCAATGAAATGATTAGCCTGTTGCAGTTGTATTCTATCGATTGTCACTAATTACAACTATCATTTACCAGAAATCAGCAGCTATCACTATGAACAACTTCTAACCAGATTTACTTGGAGGCCGTCGTCAGTTGTGGTGTTTGGTCTGCACCCGACACTTTCTCGCTTTTGAAGGGGGAGGTTCACTGAGGAAACCATACCTTAAAACAAGCCGCCTGCATGTATGTAGCAGAAATGGGCAAAGGGTAATCCTTAAATAACTCGACCATGAATCCTGCATCACCAGAGCAATAATCATAGCTACGGGTTTCCCGTTCCTAGGCATGAGACCCAAGAACCAGAGCACCTCGATTTGAGTTCTCATTTATTATCACTCCAATAAAACAAGAAAGATAATCAATTTTGACCGCCAACTACGCGGATCAGCTTATCCCTTAGGTTGAAAAAATGCAGCATTACACGTCATGAAAGTTTAATGAATGTTACCCGGCTCAGACACTCTCGATCTGTATATACCAGCACCTTCCGCCAGCACTACTATTATAACGGTAAAAAGTAAATCTTTTGACATATCGGTGATCGATCCTTCCCCGATATTGCGCCACGCATTACACTTTGATTCGGAATCTTAGTGAGTGCGACTCCAATTATGCAACGACTTGTAGGGCCAGTCGTCAGGAAATTTAGTGTTTGATCCCCTAGACATTTGATTTATCAGCTAATTTTGATTGCCCATTCTTGGAGGGGAGGAAATTCCGAGTAACCCGTTTCAGGACCTGAACTTCGGATCATAAACTTATTACGATACTAAAGGTTGTTACCATGCGATAATCCGTAAATGAGTGAACCAAAAAACTCAAATAAGCGTACTTTTCGTACTGAGCCAGTAGAGTGCCGACGAGTTCACCAATCCGCTCCTCTTCACGGGCATTCTTGGCGCAACCGACGATGTCATTTTCAGCCACATGAATCACAAACAAGCCATTCGGTTCTGGACAAATGGAGATTCGTGACACCTTAAATTGAGCAACATTTTTCAAAATTACGTACACACTCGTGATTGGGTACGAAATGAATGATTCGGTCGTCTCTTTTATGCAAGCTAGTTTCAGTCATAATGTGACAGTCAGCTGGCATGTACTAGTTGTATTTTTTGCCGCAAATATTAGCTTTTGCTGAAGTCATGATGGAGTTTTTGACCGAATTCGTGATTTTCCCTGTTTTTCTGCTCTTTTCCAACCTGACAGGTAAATACACCATCAAATTTGGGTTAAAGGCGGAGTTTAGGGTGTAAAGGCAGCACACTAAAAATTGAAGTGGAAGTTCTCAGTGAGATCAAGGGCTTGGGATTCACATTTTAGTGGAATCCTACCCCTTCTACGCCTTTGCTGAAACCCCTTACCCCTAGGCATACGTGAAGTAGAGTAGCCAGGGTACAAAATGCAGGCTTTCCCCTACCCCCCAAAGTGCTCTGCGCTAAAAAATACAAGCAAAGCCAATTTATCGCCATCTCAATTGACTAATTAAATCAAAATAGGGTCTAACAGGGAGCAGCTCATCATAATGCGCAGAAACCAAGCAGTAAGGAAAAGCAAAAAAAAGCAAGAAAACAGTGCAGCATCGGCGGACAAATTTCCATTCCTACGCTGCGCGACCGCACGCGGCAACGAGTGCATAGGCGCTCTCCGAGCCACGACATCGTATACATTTTGGATATGAATTTTATTGGGCAACTCACATTTTGCAAAGGAATCGGTTCCTTGAGCAGTTTGAAATTGACAGCGTCGAATTTGGCAATGAATTTGTCAGTGATGACAAGCGCTCGTAAGGAGGATTTATTGAATCGGTTGAACTTCTGTAAAAAATGACTTGAAAAACAAAAACAAATAATTTTAGAGAACAAATAAAACAACACTACAAATATACAATAGCAAAAACGGGAGAAGTAATCGATGATCTCCAACTTCTAATCAATAGTAATGTTCTTTATACATA